CACAAGTTACATAGTTTCCAAATCAGCTTGAGTTTCATATCCTAGAGAAAAAAAATTCCTGAACAAATTATCCTTGCCGATGGGTGCGCTATTTCATTATATACGGGATATTTATAACGGATATTAAAAATCAGTCAAATTTCTGTCAAGTTCTGCGCTGTTGACATTTAATTGTTTTCTTCGGCGCAGGTAAATTATTGTTGCCGGATTATTTCCCAAAAATTTGACAATTTTAGCCCACATCGTTCATGATCATAAACTATTAAAAGTTCGACTGCCAGTTCCTATGTTACACTCAGTTGTATGTTACTATGGCAACCAAAGTATCTTTCGTTGAGTTTTTTCCTTTAACCCGCACAAGTCTTGGCAGGTAGACCGTTTGATCACAGGTACCACAAAATACCCAAGGAATTATAGTTTGTGATGACTGCACATACAATCTTCAAATTACATTTGAATTATTTTGTCTACATGACGTGTGTTTTTTGTGATGTGATGGAACCACTAAAAAAATGGACCTGTGAATACGTCATCATTACGCATAAAGTTCGGAATGTGTGATAAATCAATAATTACCTCACAATATTCTCCGCCTCAATTATGGCTTTATTCAATATGATCCAACTCACATGTTCTCAATCGAAATGCAAATTTATTTACCAAGTCAACTTGATTAAAATAAGGTCCTAACTCGGGTTATTTTTATCATATATATTTTTTTATTTTAAATTTGTATATGATTATTGATACTGTTATATAATGTATAGTGTTTTAATACATTATTTACGTTTTGTTACTTTTGACAGTTTTGGTAATTTTCCAAATAATACAAAAAAATATGTGCTTAATGAATAAGTTATAGAATATTAATGTATTTAATATGAAATTCACTGACGCCGTACAATACATCAGACTTTAATTGGATTGGTTGTCAAATCCCGGATTTCAACTTATGGGAATAGGTACCAGATGGTTTTAAATGTATGATGAATATGTTTATATAAAAAAATTGTGTGTGTTATTTTTTTATTTATTTTATTTATGAGGTTTTGTTTCAAAAAAAGTACTAATTCCAAATCTGTGCCCAATATCATTTAAATTATGAAGCGGGGGACTGGACTCGATTAATGGGTACACAATTGTTTTGTGCCCTTCCATTACTGTGTAAGGTTCTGTTCAAGTGTGCATGAGACTGTAATTACGAGGAATAAAGAACTGAACGGTACTAAAGTGACTTCCCCGGAAACTATTGATTTCCAAATATTCAACAAGAAGCGAATCAACTTATTTCTCCCGGCGGCCATGAATGTCGTTCTTCGTGTGTGAGCACGCCGGAACAACGAACAGGCGGCCGTATCACGTGGTTCTCAGAAAACCATATCGTGAATTCAATGTGTATCTCGTGTCAGAGTTCACACAGATTTTAAATGACTCACTTCGACTGTCTTCTTGTGCCGATGAACTGTACACTATACCACGAAAACACTCTCTGGTGAGCTTTGCTGTGAACTGTGAAGTTTCTAAACAGGGAACACTTCAGCGACGAGTGTGAGTAGGAACACCCCGGGCTAACTCTACGTATTTGGCATGCCGATGGAGCCACTCCAGTAAATAGTAACCGTTCCGAGTGGTTTTAATTTTCGCCGCCAAGGCCCGACTTGGCGCGCCATCACGTAGGGACCAAAACCACGCTCTTAGTCCATCGGGACAAATAGAAAACGCCGAAGATTGAGAAGAAGTCGATTTGGGATAACGTCTGATCAAAGTTTAAGGAGCCGGTTCTCTAACCATGGCAACCATTCGATGTCCGTTAATGGTTGTTTTTTACAGCTGTATGATGTTGACGATTAGTGCATACGTTCCTAACGGATACATGCTCTCTGAAGGGTGAGACACTTTTACCTTTACAGTTACAACTCATTCACTAAATGCATTACGTTCACTGTACCTAGTATTGTTTAGTACGTGTGACGAAGTATTACGTTCAATTTATATAATATCGTGAATAATTAGAAAGACACGCCGCCCATGATACGTCCTTTCGACCCATGTTTATTCTGAATATGGTGTAAGTTTCGGTTATCTAAGGACAGCGAGTCAGTTGAAAATGATTTGCAGCTTTTTAAACACCAACGTAAACAACTGAAGTGGTTTAATCTATCACCTAAAGCAGGGCTGTCTAATAATATCAAGTTCGACCCAAAGCGTTTGTGGCAGATAGGGAATGAACACGATAACAGCGACAAGAAAATCAGCGCGAGTCTTTCCAGAACGTCACTTGTTTTCAACCGATCCTATTTCATTCAAGGCTGCCCTTTGCTTCTGCACATGTCACAACTTCTAATATCCATTAAGACGACGGAAAGAAATAAAAAAAAACACGACTTGAGTAGATATACTTCAAAGCATTGGGAATATAAGAAAACATTTCTCCACCGGCACTTCAACATATTTTTGGCATGCTTTCTAGATGTCATAACAGTGCGAGCTATGCGATTGGCAGTGCTCGTGGCTGGAGTCTCTCAGCAAGATAGATACCAACGCGAACCCCTGTGTATCGATAATACACCAAGTTAAGACACTCCCATGGATGTGTGTATCTATTTTGTTTTTGGTTTAATTCTCCTGTGCCGCGCAAATGCAGTCATTTTGCGAGTAAGAGTCACAAATTACCGTCGGATTTGTTCTAAATTTAGCATGCATTCACGTCATAACAATTTATTCTGAAATGGAGAGTCACCGATGTGACATAGATATTATATATTACTCACGATTTGAATTTAAATGGACGCCATTTTAGCTAGTAATGATATGAGATAATATAAAGATGCAAACATCCGATATACCATGGAAAATGATCTTTTTTTTAAATATCAAGACTTTTGGCCTATATTAAATTATGCATACTTAGTCCAAAATAAATGAAGAAATTATGTAAATACATATTTGCAGAATGTTGCACCCGAATTTAAGTGGGGAAAATATGCTGCTCGAAGAATTATTATCAACACTTTACTCACATATTTACTGTTTTATGTGGACCGATTTCTTGGATAATGTTTACACCATATCTCAACTACCAGACATGGAAGAGCAGTTTAATTATTTGCTATGGGCTTGAACTTATATGAGTCCTATTAACTTAGTAATGTCACGTTCGGGCTCTAAACCACATCCAAAGCAGCGTACGCCAATAAAAAACACATCAAACACTGTTAATGGTATCAGCCTAGTGAATTGAAATATTTAGGTATCAATGGCGTGTGTAATTTACTAAAGTCGATGCGTAAATAACAATTATCGGAAATAATTGCGTATTCTCAAGTTTATGCTTCGGTAATTTTAATGTGACAACGTACCGATTTACAGTTTAGACAATATTGTAACGTCAAAAAAAAAACAATATGTAGACAAGGAATTTACGTGTACGTTTGTTTATTTGAAAAGAAGGCGGCGTTGATGTGTACTGAACACAGCCTAGAATGCCGAGGAGTTTACACATTCATTCATACATTCATTTGTATTCCGGTGGTACAAAAAAATGCGGGAAATCCGACATATCCTGCTAATCTGACAGACTCCTATTGTCCGACTCGTCAGAAAACAATATTATTCGCCAGAAAGTTGGGTGGGAATACTGAATGAGTTCATCTCATGCTGTTGTTGTTGACGGAGATTTTTATACTTGCCAGTCAAGGGTACAGAGTGTGTTCTCGTCGAGAATGCGACACGGGTGATATTAACACCGGAAAGCAGGTCATAGATCGAGTGTCCGTTTCCCCCTTAGAAATTCAGCAAAGGGTGTGGGCGAACTTGGTAAAGTATTGAAAACTCGTGTTTTTTTTTAAGAAAATGCGACGTTTGTTGTTGTTTACGAGGTATGACGACACTGCTGATGCGTTTAACCAATGGAGGACTGACGTATAACAGAATAGTATAAAGTGGCTCCTGAATACCGGAATGGTAGCGAAGGGAAAAAGGCTATTTATAACCGAGAGTGCGTGACAACTGTGCATTCTCACATACCATTGTATTTAGCAAATAAACATTAAGATATCAAGAGGAAATAGCTGAACAAACTTAAATGTCGTGAGGATAATAATTTAATTTAGGCCTGGTCGTGGGGGATGCCCCTTCCCCTTGGGTAAAGCGTAATGCCGTCAATGTAAACTATACGTAAGTTTGTATTTAACTTGATGTAATGTTGCTGATAGTATTACAAGTCTCTGATTCATTTAAATAGGGAACTGAACCGATTTCTGTGTCTGAATTGTTTCACGGTCGATGAATATATGTGAGTCGGTCTCCCAACAAGTTGCATTGGTTCCGTAACTTGCGTCACCAAAAACTATTTGTTTTTCTTTTGAAAAAGAAGCTTATATTGTGCCCGTGATTCTACGGAATGCTCCCGTGTGATTACTTAGGTCGGATTAGTAAGAATTGTAGTGCGATATGATTGGGCCAGCAATGGTGACCGAACACATACCGGTGTTAGATTTCAGAGGTGACACTGGATAACCTTAGCGGGATTGAGCTGGGCCCGTTCTTAGGAGCGAGAATTCCTCACCCACCCATGTGGAGGAAATGGTTACGCTAAAGATTTTGATGGAAAGTTATGTTCAGTTTGTTTGGCTCTTTTATATATGTGATAATAATGCTTAAGGGGTGGTGGTCGCGCGTCCTATTCGATAGGCGACGTACAAACCGTGTAAAGTACATTGTTTATATGAAATTCGAACAATCGCTGCGCGACGACCACCGCCCTTTAGATATACCCTCAGGCCACGATCAACTCTAACGGGTCGTGTCGTTTCACTCTTTTCTCCCACACAGAAAGGACAAAGTAGAAGAAGAGTATTGTCCGCCGAATAAAATAGTGACAAATGTGTACGAATGCCAAAACAAAAAAGGGGAAACTACGAACTGTGTTAGGTAAGTGACACTTCCTTTCACGATGATTCACAACTAAATACAAAACACGAAATAAGCGTTTCTTCACAATGCTGCCTCTATGCATTTGAAATTCACATGATTTTTTCTCCATTTTTATTTATGCAGAAAGTCGTGTTGCCATGGTTTCATTTACGTAGACGGTAGATGTATATCAGAAGGTGAGTCATTCACATTTATTATATCGAAGTTGTTTATTTTATTAATAATGCGAGATTACTTCACGTATGTTTGTAGCTATTTTAGCGACAACTTTCAATCACATCGCACAACTTTCACCACGGTTGAATTTCTGGTTACTGTAACACAAATATATATGGAAAACATTTATTGCATTTCGTAGAGTATAGAGCTCGTTCACTTCCTAATAGACTGAATATTTATTTTAGATACCGACGTATGTGCTAACGCACCGTGTGAACAACAATGTACTAATAATTTTGGAAGAGTGCTGTGTACTTGTTATCCCGGGTTCGTTTTTGACCGCCAAAGATATGCAGTATCAACGCCACCATACTGTGTAGGTGAGAACAACACTGTCTTTCGTTTTTTGTTTTATATTTTGCTTAATCAGTGACATTGCAGTGGCGGCGGCAGCAGATTTTATGTGAATGTCAACAAATCTCGCGCCAAAGGCTCCGGGGGCATGGTCCCCCGGAAAATTTTGATATTTAGACCTTCTGAAATGCTGTTTCCTGCATTTTGGGGAGCAAATTTTGATGGTACACTTACGTTCTCTGGAGATGGGTGTATGACTGTTTCACTTCATTTTTTGTGGGAGCGACCGCCCCACTGCCCCACGGTGCCGCCGCCACTGCATTGAGTGTGTCTGCTACAACTTCAACACTTGCACCGAGCAAGCATTATTATATTGACATATTAATATTGCTTTTTCATCAGAGTTAATCACGTGTCTTTGCTAAGAACATAAAACTATGTTCAATGTAAAATGAAAGCGAATATTAATTATCCACTAATGGCGCATCGTTTTGTCTCCTAAAACTTGAAACTCCCATTAAAATAAAATCAGACCTGTTTTCCGAGTAACATGATTAAACCTTGGTGCTAAAAAAAAAGCTCCATGATTAAACATACCGCACTCCCTGTGAAGAGGCTGTGAACAGACACAGAAATCCGGACAGCATTTATGCAATGACACATTTTGTCTAGAAAAATATATCTGTTTGTTTGTTTGTATATGTCATCCGTCGATGTGGTCATTGCGTAAGTGTGTTTTGTTACGGCATCCGTGAATGTGTACATTAACTACGTGAATTTTGTTTTTCGTCATATATTTACATAAATATAGCATGCGTGAAATCCCCGTTCTTATTCATGAGCTCGCTAGTGACTTCTTACATTTTGTTTTGTTCTCACAGACTTAGTTGAGTGTAACTATAGCAATGGTGGTTGTTCACACCATTGCAACAATACGGATGGTAGTTACTACTGCTCATGTGATAGTGGGTATCGTTTAGCAGATGACGAGAAAAGTTGTGAAATAGGTAATACGGTAACGTTCGAGTGTCTTTCTGATAAATATAAATTTGTGATTTTCATAAAAACTTGTGATGAGTTCGGCGGTAGTCGATCTTTAGCATTGTTTTTTTTATAAATGACATCATTAATATTAAGAAAAGAAATATTCGATTACTATTGCATGTAATTTCCGAGAACCTTTGTCAGGTGTCTGATCAAATTCAGCACAAGTATTTATTACTTTGTGCAACTTGTCTTTTTGTCGTTATCGAGGTTGTGCTCTATACATAATTCTGCGGGAATGTTTACACATCATATCACATTGTCTGCGGCGAGCCGAAGTCGCCGACGTTCACTGCGCATGCTCGCTGTCACTGACAACTTGAGCATTTCAACACCCACGTGTTATTATCAATACCATAAACATAGTGTTTTGTTTTTAATTTTGTTTCCATGACTACAGATGACAGTGTTCGCGAATCTGCTGTATTAAGTGAATTTCGGGTGGAACAGCGATGTACTCCGAGCTGTTCTGAACTACATGAAATGAAAAACACAGTCGTAGAAGTGTCGGAAAAGGTAACATCACGCAACATACAAGCTCTTTTATTTTGCGAGTTTAGATTTCAGAAATGTCGATGACAGTTTGTGTTTAATTCCCAATTTCATTTCCGTGCGTACATTATACATTGTAATCTGACCGGGCACGTGATTCGTTTAATTCAAATTCATATTATTTTGTGGGTGCGGTAGGGAAGAACGAAACAAGGGAGGGGCGACAAACGAGGGAGGGTCGTCACCTGCGCACGCGCGAGTCACAAACGATTATAAAAACACAAGCTAAGAAAGCAAAGGCTCATGGGTAAATATTGTAAACAATGATACGTTATAGCCACCTGACTCATGCGTTGGTGACGCTTTAATGCAATAAGTTGATATGCTTGGTAAGGATGTGATAGGGTGTAGTTCGATCCTGTCACCTCTTCCAAATTAACGTGAATCGAGGGATGAGCGCTACGATGGTGCTGTTCAAGATTTCCCCTGTTTTTATATCGTGCAACGGTACTTGACTTCAATTGTCATGTGTTTATTCCTATAATTACGACTCTTATCAATGGATCACAACAACATATGTATGTATATATGCATACGATTAAAATAGAATTTATTTTCAACAAATGAAATGCTACATATCCCTCTATATACAACTGGATCGATAAGTACACCTTGTGTTAAAACCGAGTCGGCGAAATTCAAATACTAACACACTTCGTCACAACAGACGCGCAATGCAACGACAGTCAACACCATTTCGCAGGTCCAAAGTCGTATCGCCATTTTCTGCTAAACGTAGAACAGCATAGTGAGCAAATATACAGGACGGCTTACAGTGAACAATTATTAAGTGACAAGTTTTCGAATTAATTAATTAATTAATTAATTATGTCGTACATTTGGTTTAAGCTTGCCTGATACGTGTTCATTTCAATATATCCAATTAAATTTGTGTTCGCCCAATAGATGATTTTACTAGAAGCTCTTGCTGATCAGACGAGGCTGAAGGGTGATCAAGGCCACCCCGGCCCTAGTGGTCCTCCGGGCAGGGCGGGCATACCAGGTGAGAGAGGACGTCCCGGTTTTCCGGGCCAAACTGGACCAATGGGCCCCGAAGGGCCACAAGGTTCTCGAGGTATTCCTGGTCCCCCTGGACCTCCTGGTTCGCCGTCATTGTCGTCAACACCTCCGAGATCTGGTTTATCTCCCGATGCTACGTCATTAAAAGATGTAAAGATAATGCAGGGAAGACGCGGAAGAAGAGGTCCAATGGTAGGTATAATATACTAGTAGTCGCCTGAATCACACATGCACATTGTTCGCGTTGCTGTATCTCGTATTATTCGTGACTTGGGCATGACAATACAGACATGTTCTTTCTACATGTAGTTTGTCCTAAGACAATATTTCATAAACACTATACTCAGCAGTTATATTTCCTTAATCCATTTCTATATACTAGTATAACTCTTTGAATAATATTGTTCTATTTTCACAGGGCAAGCCGGGCGCACCTGGGCCACTGGGTCCTAAGGTTTGTAATGTGTTTTTTTTCTTTCAATAATTTTTTCAGATTGTTTTATTTGTGTATAAAATATTCTCTTTAATTGCTATTGATGTGAAATACAAGCTATCAGAGTGTTTGTGACATGTAATTCTTTCAACAAAAATATAAGTGGACAAATCAGAGATATGGCACTAGATCCACATTCACTAAAACAAAATGGCCGCCAGTCGGCCATTTTGAATCTTATCTGAAAAACAAAATGATGTGCATCAAGCTCCTATAATGTCTAACGTATATACCAATTTTGAACAAAATCCATCTGATGATTTTTAGCACAAAAATGGCCGCCATTCGGCCATCTTGAATCAAATCGTGAAACAAATTGACGTGCATATGTATAATATTATGTATGATGTATGTGTGAAGTCTGATTGTGATTGGTCCAGGCATTTCTAAGATACAGGTCCGGACGCACGGACGGACACACGGAGGTCAAAACATAAGTCCCCGTTTTCGGACTGCGTCCGAACGGGGACTAAAAAAAGATGGCCGCTCACTGTTACTGCAAACTGATTGGTTCAATGTCGTCGTACATCGTCCTGTGGCTTTAAAGAACGTGTTCATTAGCTTTGATAGGCTTTAAGCAAAAACTACATCGATGTGGCTCGATTGACATCGTGGGTTTCATGTTGTGTACGAATGTTTTTCCTTCCATGAATTCGATTCATAACTTCAACATATTTATTATAACATATTTATTAATCTTTTATTTAAAAAAAAATATCTCTTTTGCTCCGTTTGCTGTGTTTTTTGGGGCGCATTTGCACGTCTTATATTAAGTTAAACGGTTAATATACGAATGGTACTTAATTCATAAATCTTCGTTTGAAAATTAAACATATGATTTGAAGGTGGAATGTATTTTTCATCTACAATCGTTATGACCCATTGACAGGTTTTGTCCTTTGATTTGTGTCATCATACCTTCCACAAGAAAAGAGACGTAAAAATGAGAACCGTCAATAATAATAGTTAACAGATCGATCGTAGTTTGAAAATGACTATAAAAGCTATAAAGAGCTATAAAGTTCAAACTTTACCTAATTTTCTCAACAGGGAGACAAAGGAGAAGACGGTTTACGGGGAGAAAAGGTAAGTGGACTCTCCTCGTGGAGATTACTCGAGTCTGACGTTTTGGCTTGTTCTTCCGAAGTTCCTAAAAACAACAGTTCTTTATCATTTTATCAATAGCATGCGTAAAAGACTACAAGAGACAAGAGCGAAAAAGAGCGGTACACCTTTTTAGTTTTTTTTGTGTGGCGTAAATTGTTTAGTATCACGTCATCAAATCTTGCAAATATCCACCGCCTTGTTCGCATTTGTTTGAAGAAAATTTAGTACTGCTAAATTATGAAAAATAATTGGTCTAATGAAATATTTTTTTTCGTTAGGGATACCCTGGAAACTTGGACTTCGTTTTACTGATTATGGCTGGTCTTCGCCGAGACGTTCTCGAACTCCAAAGGGCGGTATTTCGCGACCGTGTGAATGACATCCCGCATTTGCCCGAGATCACGAATAGAAAAGATCGCAACGAGATCCTGGGCTTTCACCTCGGCGAGGAGTACGTTTTAGAATATCCAGACATAGCTTTGGATACATTTTACGACACTATGACATTTGATTCTGAACTTGGCAGTGGTGATCAATCAGCGGGTTCAAAAAGCAATTTGAAGTCAAAAGAGGACGATCTTAACTGGATGTATTCATCGAAAGACCCTGCGCTTGAAATCGAACAACCAAAGCCACAACTCATGCCTACAACAGACACGACCAAAAAATCATCCCTGGACATTTAAATTTATTATAGTTTATAGAGCATATTTTTATGATCATTTATTAATTTCCTGTTTTATTAATTGATTTATCATATAAATCTGTTTTTTTTTTATTATATTCACACGGTGATTTTTCGTCCAAAAATGTGTCATGCGTTATACTACCCGCTACTAACGCCTCGTTTTGTTGTACTATTTTAAAGAAAACATAAAGATTAGCCATAAAAAGACATGTTTCATTTTTAATAAGGAAGTTTAGGTTGATCATGTTACGTTCTTAATGCTTTCGTACATAATTATCATTGCTGTAATCACTCAATTCTAATTTACTTCATAGAGGGTACTTCTAAACGTTGTTTCCGGATTCTAATGAATAAAACTTCTCATGAACCGTACACAATTTACAGCCCTTATGATCCTTACATGGGTCATTGATAGGTCATTTCAGTCTATAAATCTTACATAACATAAGGAGTTCAACTTTAAAGCGGATGGGTCTTCATCTGCTCACGCGCGGAAATTAAGTCCTGGGCGACGATAGCAACGCATGTTAAACAACTTGAAGGGTAGACACTTGTTTTTAAACAACTACACGCTATCTCGTTGTTCTACGTTGACCGCCTTCTTCAGAGTTTCGGTCAAATTCTATAGAGGTGTGTAACTAACGCAAACACTTGAATACGTCCTTATTGATGTTTTTGTTTTCTCGTTTATATTTAATTTGAAACTTTTGAATGCCATGCCACAGTCCCTCTATCATAATGGAGAGACTGGTCGTGCATACTTTGGCGTCAGTTTATTAGATGTATTCTTTGTTCGTGCAAAGACAATAATGTCTTTGGTTCATGTATATTCATGGTTACTCGTTTAATGTATTTATAATCGTGAAAATCATAAGAATAAACCATTGATTACCCGTTTACATCTAGTTTTACTAAAAATTCCACTTGTATTGTACCTTTCCCGTTTGTTTTTGTCCCTGAACATTCAGAGTTTCTATGAAATTGAAAATAACTTTTTAAAAACTTATCAGTATTGACCCGATGTTTGTTTGGACATACTCGCCGTGTTCGCTAGTTCCTGGTGTTCTGATAATAGACGTGCCGTGAAACTGAAAACGGGGAACCTATCAGGTGGTTCGTGGCGGAATTACAGAGGGGGAGGCACAGAATAAGTATGTCCTCAAGAAGTTCCATGGCACAATATATAGCGCATGTACGTAGCGGCAACATAGTTTGATTCTATTTCGTCATTGGTTTCGGGAATATATTATAATAATTGCTGCTGAGAATGTTTGAGATGGGTGAAAGGTGCATAGTTGAATGTTGAATGACGGGATTATCATGTTTGCTGTGCCCGTGTTTTAATTATTCATACCCCCTAATGCTTGCACGACAACTGCGCATGCGCTTGTCTTAGTGTGTATAATCATTATTCGTCAAGGCGTCTCAAGTAACAAATACCATACCATCCCGACCGAGTCAAATTATTTTTTCTGCAAATTTATTCTGTACATTATTTCGAAGTTAAAATTGCGTTACGTTTAATACTTGTAACTTGTTAACTTGTAATACTGATTTTTATTCAAGTTGAAGATGTTTTTACCCTGACAATAATCATTATATTTCCAACTCGTAAAACATAGTTGACATTATCTTACAATATTTGTGTTAAGCCTGCATAGAAATATAAACTACTAATGCGCTTCTCTAGTATTTTATCTACAGAAGATCGCATATGAACTACATATCAGATACTCTGGCATCGTGATGAATCTGTGATATATATACGTATCACATTCTGAGTTGACAGTGTTCAGTGCTGTCGAGGCCTAGATAATTAACGACCGTGTTCGCGTTAATAGTGTATAATTCAATATGGTGAAGTCATTTGTCTAGGTCACTTGTAATAACACGTCATGGAAATGTCATCAAGTATTATCAGGTCACAGCGTCGCTATCGCCTATATGGTAGAGCGTCTGTGATTGGCTGTTCGTGTTATCTGATGAGAATAACATATACGTATTACTAGTATGTTGAGTCGTAATCAGTCCTCGGCGTTGAAATTGAGGCAGAAGACCAGACTAGGTGGGGTGAGGCGGGCAGGGGACCAGACTAGGTGCGGTGAGGCGGGCCCTTTTGGGTGTTTCAGGGTCGTCGAACCTTATTGGTTCAGGTAAGTCACGTGGATGGAACAACGAGAGATTGAATCATTTTAGAGAGTGTATGTTTGAGTTTGTACCTTATACTCTGCAGATTGCCACTACGTACGACGATATACCTGCTGGGAACGTGCCCGGGCCATTTTGGGTATTTTAAGTATTATTATGGTTCTTATCGTAGGTTCAAACAGCGGTATTAGTCACGGTGTTAGGTAACGACGAGGAATCTCTCGTGTGCAATTGAGTCAGATGCTGTTCTCGGGATTGTGCCCAAGCAACGCTGCTGATTTGCATATTAATTTGCATAAATTAACATATGTATTTAGCATATTTATTTTTTACATAACAATGTGCCACGAACGCTCGGTTATTTTACTCACTCAAATGCATCCAGTACTGAAGGTAACACACACAATATTTTACAGTGAGGCTTAATTGAATCATTTATACCCATAAATTATTAATCTGCTTGGCCCAATGTGTTGCAGCGCTTAATCTGTCTGCTGGTTTTTATTCTGGATACAGCACAACAACCTCCATCACAGTCTGGAAAAAAGAAATCGTATTTGATTTCATAAACACGTGAATCAATACAGATATATATTCAAACGTTTTTTTTTTAGTCGATATTTAGAATGAATACAATTACTTACCAATAGTTGAGACAGGTACAGGTAAACCAATGCCAGCAAGTTTTCACAGATTTGGTGCTAGTTCCCTGTAGTTGGTGACAATGGTCTTCAGCATTCCTTGGTGTGATTTATCATGGGATGTAGTCTCCATCGCCACTTTAATAAGAGTGTATTCTCTGACTGCTCCTTAATAATGTCCCAGCAATGCCTGTAAATATGAAGATAAAAATAACAAAGTAAAATACAAAGGATTTTATAGGACAGTGATCAGTAAACACGCGAAAGACATAAAGAATAAACTGTTTCAGAGGTACATTACTTGGGGTTTGTAACTACGGTGACATGATACCAAGATCCCGTCACAATCTCGCTCTCGCATAAGCGTTCCAACTCAGAAAAAATGCGAATGCGCATGCCCGAGGTAACTAGGATACTGGGATGTCCAGGTGGATCAAAATAGCTGCCCACGATATGACGGATTACGAGAACTATATTTTCTGTACATTTTCGATGTATTACATTTTTCACTATGATGGTGACAAGAAAAGTTTATTTTTTTCATTACAAACCTTGAACATTGATATGCGTCATGTCAGAAGGTCGTAGCCTCAGTCTCGCTATCTACGAGAAGAGACTTGAATGGGATCTTGACATGATGTCACCATACAGTACTATGCGAGTTGCAAACCCCAAGTAATGTACCTCTGATTGTTTATACGATTGCTTCCAGCTTTATTTGCATCATCGCTCACTGGACTTGAATCAAGTAAACTGAATGCTGAAGTCAGGAGGATATATCGGAATCTGTTCTCTGGATCGCTACAAACTGCACTTATACACTTCACATAAACCCGTGTATAAGAAGAAAAAAACGGAAACAAATTAAATAGGTGATTTTCCGAACAATTGCGAGATCTCGCGAGATGCATGAAAGACGCGCGTCGAACGTATGCCGCAAAAATCGAACGATTTGATTTTGAACTAGAATTTCTTTATTTCGTAGCTCACATCGACCGGCCGATCTTCGACAGAGGAATATTGCTTCCGAATACCCTCACTTAATCGAAATTACCTATCATCAAATGTGGACAGCACATTATTAAGCATGGAAATGTCCCCGAAATACTTTCGCGTTTGTCGAATCCCACGCGATGTTTGACGCGACTACGACGCTATGACCTTTGTTTGTCCTGTTTTTACGTTCGATTTCACGCATAACGCGTGATTCTCGCAGTGTACGGAAAATGGTCTATTACTACTTATACACAATTGCATGTACAACACTCACTGATTCAATTGTTTTTATCTGTGAGCAGTTCTACTTATTTGAATGTATTCTCGTTATGCTGTGTATCCTTGATATCAAAGTCTTTTTTTGATTATATGATTTTATGTATTCCCTTGCCTCAATAACTGTGTGATGATTATCGCTGTACTGCTCACCACTGGTCTCCAATATGTAGTAGACAGATCCTTGTTTCTGGAAGGAAATAATTATGGATGATTTGGTGACAATATGAACAAATCCATTTGAACTATTCGTCTTTCATTACATTGGAATGTATTGTAACATTCTGTAATAATAATTACTTGAAACAATGAGGGCAGTCTTGATAAATGAGGTAGCGCGTCACTCAGCATGTGGAAACTAGCAATAAATGGAATGAGATCCAACCAGTAAAATGATTGCCGTGCTTTCCTGTTTCCTTTCTCTCTACACTTGTAATGACTACAGGAAGGGGCGTTCTCACTGTATTTACTGCCCTTTGTTGTGCGGACAGTATTTGCCGTCCTCGCTGCCCTGTCCTGATATAAATAGAATAATTCTTGTAACGTTAAACACACGTGAGCCACTCCATTCATAACTTACACAGAAGCCAATGACAGTACACCATTCACAAAATATGTCTGTACAGCCAACTTCTGAGTCATGAAATCTTGACAAAAAATTAACATACCTTTTTATCAAAAACTAAAAGCCAATTTCAGATACTGCCTGTATGATTCAAAATTACTTTGAAATTTAAGGAAAATTTTGTAAAATGGGTAAAAATTTACGTTGAATATTTAGCGGTCAGAGGGTCAATGTACTTTTAGCAGTGACTCGTTTTCCTCCTTCAATTTAGCTGTCAATTACTAATAGATTAGAATTATGTGTATAGTGTGTTTGTTTGTTTGTTAAATGTACACCACCAACAATACATGTACATGACTGCAACCATAGACCCTCTTTTTAGAGGGTCTATGCTGCAACGTGACAACACACAATACTAGTAATAGCAAAGTCGTGTAAGCGTATCCCACTGCACCATTAGAATTAAGAGAATAACACTTATTATCGAAAGTCAGAGAATAAACTGTCTGTACTCTTCACAATGTTGTCAGCTGTACCATCCATGACGTCATCAATATTAGTGAAGGATGTTTTATTCTGAAATAAAATAAAAATAGATTAAACTTTCCAGTATTCCAGTAAAAATTAACAAATTATTCTGTACATAGTTATGAGAAATAATTAAGTATTGTCTGTGACCTTTATCTATCTAAAAACCTGTGTGATCAACTGCTCCAATATGGCTATATCTGTGGTTCCATTCATGTGGACTTCAAACACAGAAGTGTCATGTAAATCTGCGCGGATTCCATTACCAATGACAGATGCAATGGACTGTAAAATATCATTGGCTTTGTGTTCAGAGGTATTATGTGTAATACAACCAAGCAAATAATAAAACATGTATCTGTCTGTATTAATGTATTATCCTGTTTTTTTAGTAACCATGATTACAGTCACCAGTCTCGGGATGAATGTGGTAAACTATTGAGTTCATACTTTACATTATGTAACTACAGTAACTAGATTGTGCCTAAAATATCAAACTTTATTTGATATACACCTGGATTATATTATTGCACTTCGGTACTATATAGGTATAGATTTGGTAACTGCCTTTGAGTAGAAATAAGGTCACAATTTCGAGAGCTCGGTAGCACCTCACTCCCCAGCTATAAATCAAGCACTCCCTTTCCGGACAGACAGTTTGATGACTTGGATTCCCGCATTTCATAGTGAATAATATGTATAATAAGGGTTGGAACATTTGATTTTTGAGGGGGGGAGGTCAG